TGATTAACAAGAATATTATATTTCTCAGCAAAACCTCTGTCCTGGATTTATCCCTGTAGGAATTCTTGTTTACCAGCCCAGTGCATGGGGCGTGTAGGTCAGGAAAGATGGTTCTGGGAGATCTCTAGTCTGCTTGGACCCCGATGCCCTACAGCTTCCACTGAGCTTCAGTAAGAAGCCAATGGAACTCAACAGGACTGGCCTTATCCTGTAGCGGGGCAGGACAAAGGAGAGCTACAGGAGATGGAAGATCTCCCCCAACCCGAGGGTTTGAAGAAGCCCTGCTTGCTGCAGGGCTCTGTGCCCTCTCTTTGGCTCAGCCCCATCCTGCAGCTCTGCCCAAAGCCCAGTTGGGCTTTCAGCTCTCAAGCTGGTTGCTTGCTCAGCGAGAGTGCTGGTGAAACAGATTCTCCTGCCTTTAGACATTTGCATTTCCTCTAAAGAGGAAAACACTGATTTGGGTCACAGGAAGGCAATGGTGGACTCTGATGCATGGGAGTTGTAGCCTAGCCCCACTCAGCTGCATGGCTGAGCTGCGCATGGCTGAAAGGCACGGGGCTGCTGTGCAGGGAGCAGACATGTCTGCCCCTGTTAAGAAAAGACGGTGCACCACAAACACTGCTTTTATGATGACTAAAGCACTGTCAGGAGCAGCTGCCCACGTTCCACTCAGTGTTGCCTCTGTCTCATTCTCTCCAAATGGCCTTCCTCTGTGAGCCCCTTAGTCTGTTGCCATCTCGAGAGTGCAGCTGAGCTTGGTCCTGAGGTCCTTGCTAGGATGATGTGTGGGCAAATGCTCCTGAAGCTCCAGAGCAACTGTGGCTGCTCTAAGGTCCCCTCAGAGTGAACACAGCTCCTTGAGGGATGTGGGGCTGGATCCCTGTGCTGGGGCTATTGATAGATGTATGTCATAGAATCAAAGAATCATATAATCATAGAATCATCAAGGTTGGAAAGGACCCCTAGAGATCATCTAGTCCAACCCCCCTGCACACGCAGGGTCACCTAGAGCATGTTACACAGGATTGCATCCAAGTGGGTTTTGAAGCTCTCCAGAGAAGGAGATTCCACAACCTCTCTTGGCAACCTGTTCCAGTGCTCTGTTACCCTCATTGTCAATAAATTTTTCCTTAAGTTCCTGTGGAACTTCTGGTACTTCAGTTTGTGGCCATTACCTCTAGTTCTGTTGGTGGCCATCACTGAAAAGAGGTTGGCCTCATCTTCCTCCCTCCCTCCCTGGAGGTATTTATAGACATTGATCAGGTCCCCTGAAAAGGTTCAGCCTTCTCTTCTTCAGGCTGAACAGGTCCAGCTCCCTCAGTCTCTCCTCGTAGGGCAGATGTTCCAGGCCCCTGATCATCCTTGTGGCCCTGCGCTGGACTCTTTCCAGGAGCTCCACATCCCTCTTGTACTGTGGAGCCCAGAACTAGACACAGTTCTCCAGATGTGGTCTCACCAGGGCTGAGCAAATGGGCAGGATCACCTCCCTCGACCTGCTGGAGATGCTCTTCTTAACGCACCCCAGGATCCCATTGGCCTTCTTGGCCATGAGGGCACACTGCTGCCTCATGGTCAACTTGTCATCCACCACGATACCCAGGTCCTTCTCTGCAGAGCTGCTCTCCAGAAGGTCGGTCTCCAGCCTGTACTGGTGTCTGGGGTTATTCCTCCCCAGGTGCAGGACCTTGCACCTGGCCTTGTTGAATTGCATGAGGTTTCTCACC